TTTGTTTTCAGATCATTGTTGGATGAACTTCTTTGTTGGTGCTTCTGGCCTTTTGTGTCAGAGGACCTTTTCATTATGAACCAATGTGGCGAACCCAATATACAACCCATGTATAGTGAATTTGGGATGGTTCATTATTGGAATTACCATATTAGAATAATCATATTATACTATACTATACCATAATTATACTATTGGGATGCCACCATCATAATTATTCCTCTCCGCACTCAAATGATGCCACCAGGACATCTAAGGTCTAAGAATGTCTCCCAAACCGGCAGAATCATTCTACAGGAAGTTGGCCTACATGGAACTGGTTGGCAATCCGGTTGTAACTCCTTACGCGCTTTAAACTATGAATAACTATGAATAATCTAGCTTTACCATGCTTTAATATGCTTTAACTCACTTATCTCCAGTTGCTATATATCTGGATATCATAATTTGACTTCAGGGATACACCCAGCGTCAGGAAACCCGATCCTGGCCGCCAAGGTGCCGTCATGATCGTAGGCATAGCACGTGTGTACGATCCTCAAATTCCCATTGACTTGAGCGACTGAAACTTTGGCTGACTGGAGTGGTCCACTCCAGCAACAAAGAATAATTTTGTAAGACATAGACTAGAATGACATAGAATGACTAGAAGTTGCTACAGGCAAACGAGAAAGTCACGCCTAAGTCATGCCGACAGTGCAAACGACGTAAGAAACGACGTTGGAACCAGACCCTATAGCCACTTGGCCTTGAATGGGCTGCACCTGTCCCTGCTTGACCCGCAGGGCTTTCCAGCCGTGAAGAAAAATATCACCAAGACAGGAAAAACTAGACAATCCAATGTCAGAACTATTGCCAATTGCAAAGCATGATTGACCAAATCAGGCCACAAGGCAAGCATCCAGAGTTCCCAATGGCACCGCTGAATCAAAACAACCACATATATATCCACTAAGCAGGCTTTGATAGCAAAACACATAGGCATCGCAACAAAACTCAAGAAAAGTGCACCGAACACATCAGGGGTCGCCCGTGATTAGGGGGTAGGCACGACTTCTTACATTAACTTCTCTGCAGCTAATTCTGGTATTCTGCAGCCCGTGGGCACGACATTGTCTGTTCCCTGTGTGGGCAATCAAGAAGATCACGATACGGATCTTCCAGCACCCATCGTTTTCAAATTAACCATGAAATATGCAAGCTTGGTTGATAATGGTATATCCTGGTCGGCCACTTCGGGGGATTCTGCTTGGATCTTTCAAGGCGCACTAATTCGTGGTTGGGTTTCTCCATATCTTTTCAACCAATCTTTTGCACACATGATGACCACGAGCAGAAAATGTCGAAAAAACACATCTTGATTTAATCATAGTTTTACAGTGCTCTGATTTCCGATTTGGGCAAAACTAGGGCGGACAACAGGCGCAACTTCTTGCAATCGAGCGCAACTTTGCGAAAACGAGGTAAATTGAAAAAGTGGTTGTTCAGAACCCTCTATGCTGTATAACACGTAAATCGCTCCGAACACAAATTACTGAAACGAGCAACACAAACTATCTCGAGCAGTGTGCGCCTCAAGGTCCAGGTGGTTACACCATGATACACCCCTGAAATTAAAAATACCAAATTTGGATAATTTTGGCCATATCCACTGCACCTCATGTTAAGATTTCAAAGATTTCAGACGGTAACAAGGTCTTCCAAGGTGTTTCAAGGTATTTCAAGGTGATATCACGGTATTAAAGTGACCAAAAAACGCTAGTGGATGTGCCATTTCCAGTGATGCTTATCATGGCGGATCTGAAATACCCAGAAAAAAAGCTCATTAGTATCCCCATTCACAGCAATAATTCAACCATAGTAACCTCCAAAAAGATGCCGGCAACCACGTTTCCAGCTTGATGCTTCGAAAAAAAAACCAATATTTCTAGGAGTTCGGACTTTTGCACCACTATTCTTGAGGTGTTGATACAAAGTACTAGAAGATACTATAAGTTACTAGAATTACTAGAAGATACTATTAGTTAGTAGAATTACGAGAAGATACTATAAGTTACTAGAATTACTAGAAGATACAAAAAGTTACTAGAATTACGAGAAGATACTATAAGTTACTAGAATTACTAGAAGATACTATAAGTTACTAGAATTACTAGAATATACTATAAGTTACTAGAATTAGGAGACACTATATAGCGACGGACAATCAGTTAGAATGTATTTTGGAAAAATCGGAATATTTCACGCTTTTTGGACGTTCTAAGTGATTATTCGTCTACGTTCTAAGCACCCCACTTAGAACGTTCAAATATCAAGATTCATCACTTAGAACGTACCGGGGAATTTAACACTTAGAACGTGTCTAGGTCAATGATGATAGTGGAAAGGCTTGTGAAATCATGTTGCCGCACTCAGCGAAGCCACTCTCTGAGAGCGCTTTCTGAAGGTTTGAGGGCTATGTTTATTGTGCATGGAAGGGAACCATCACAGTTGATTTGAAACGGTGGGTACCTCATCGATTTCTCGAAGGATTTGGATAGTAGTAGTATTTATATGAGATATATATATATATTCAATGTATCATAATTCTGTATATACATATCATGTTAATTATTCAGCATTATAGCGGCGGACAATCACTTAGAACGTAATTTTTTTGGGGGGTTCTGACGTTCTAAGTGTTGGATTCAGCAGCTAATGCCGTAGGAAACATACACATAATTTCGATTCCACTTCGGATTCCAATTTTCTGCAATATTTTAATTGCGTTATAAAAGGAAATTCAATGAACTTTAATTGATTTTGAATAGAAAAAACTAATCTTTTTATTAAGGGTTTAAATTTACTATTAGGATCCGCTTCGAAATCCAATTTTTGGCAATATTTTAATTGCGTTATATAAGGAAATTTAATTGATTTTGAAATCGAAAAAAATGGTCTTTCTTATTAAGGGTCTAAATTTATTATTAGGGTCCGCTTCGAAATCCAATTTTTGGCAATATTTTTAATTGCGTTATATAAGGAAATTTACTTGATTTTGAAATCGAAAAAATAGTTTATATAGCGACGGACAATCACTTAGCACGTTCTAAGTGTTGGTTTTACGTTCTAAGTGTTGATTTGGCCTCCCTACGTTCTAAGTGATGGTTTTACGTTCTAAGTGATGAAATTTTGCCTACGTTCTAAGTATTGATTTCGTGCCACGTTCTAAGTGCATTTTTTTTTTGAAAAATACGTTCTAAGTGGGTGTCCGTCGCTATAAGTTTTCTAGAATTACGTGAAGATACTAGAAGTTACTAGAATTACAAGATACTATAAGTTACGAGAATTACCAGAAGATACTATAAGTTACTAGAATTACTAGAAGATACTATTAGTTAGTAGAACTACGAGAAGATACTATAAGTTACTAGAATTACTAGAAGATACTATAAGTTACTAGAATTACAAGATACTATAAGTTACGAGAATTACTAGAAGATACTATAAGTTACTAGAATTACTAGAAGATACTAGAAGTTACTAGAATTAGGAGACACTATAAGTTACTAGAAGTACGAGAAGATACCATACGCTACTAGAATTCCAAGATACTATAAGCTACGAGAATTACTAGAAGATACTATAAGTTACTAGAATTACTAGAAGATACTGTAAGTTACTAGAATTACTAGAAGATACTATAAGTTACTAGAATTAGGAGACACTATAAGTTACTAGAATTACGAGAAGATACCATAAGCTACTAGAATTCCAAGATACTATAAGCTACGAGAATTACTAGAAGATACTATAAGTTACTAGAATTACTAGAAGATACTATAAGTTACTAGAATTAGGAGACACTATACTTACTAGAAGATACTATAAGTTACTAGAATTACTAGAAGATACTATTAGTTAGTAGAATTACGAGAAGATACAAAAAGTTACTAGAATTACTAGAAGATACAAAAAGTTACTAGAATTACGAGAAGATACTATAAGTTACTAGAATTACTTGAAGATACTATAAGTTACTAGAATTACTAGAATATACTATAAGTTACTAGAATTACTAGAAGATACTATAAGTTACTAGAATTACTACAAGATACTATAAGTTACTAGAATTACTAGAAGATACTATAAGTTACTAGAATCACTAGAAAATACTATAGGTTACTAGAATTAGGAGACACCATAAGTTCCTAGAATTACAAGAAGATACCATAAGTTACTAGAATTACAAGATACTATAAGTTACGAGAATTACTAGAAGATACTATAAGTTACTAGAATTACTAGAAGATACTAGAAGTTACTAGAATTAGGAGACACTATAAGTTACTAGAAGTACGAGAAGATACCATACGCTACTAGAATTCCAAGATACTATAAGCTACGAGAATTACTAGAAGATACTATAAGTTACTAGAATTACAAGATACTATAAGTTACGAGAATTACTAGAAGATACTATAAGTTACTAGAATTACCAGAAGATACTATAAGTTACTAGAAACACTAGAAAATACTATAAGTTACTAGAATTACTTGAAGATACAAAAAGTTACTAGAATTACGAGAAGATACTATAAGTTACTAGAATTACTAGAAGATACAAAAAGTTACTAGAATTACGAGAAGATACTATAAGTTACTAGAATTACTTGAAGATACTATAAGTTACTAGAATTACTAGAATATACTATAAGTTACTAGAATTACTAGAAGATACAAAAAGTTACTAGAATTACTAGAAGATACAAAAAGTTACTAGAATTACGAGAAGATACTATAAGTTACTAGAATTACTAGAAGATACTATAAGTTACTAGAATTACTACAAGATACTATAAGTTACAAGAATTACTAGAAGATACTATAAGTTACTAGAATTACTACAAGATACTATAAGTTACTAGAATTACTAGAAGAAGGGTGTATAAAATACTCAAAGTTACTAGAAGATACTACAAAATACTATGAAGTACTATAAGATTTAGTTCCTGGAAGTGCTAGTGACTAGCCATCCAAGGTTTGCCGAGCAGCTCCGCTGCGACATCGGCCTCAATCCACTGAAGGTTTGCCTTGAGGCGAGGCGATGACATCAATGAGGTTGAGATATCCAATGAAACAAAAAAAACATGATTGGCAAATATGGACCACCCAGGAAATTTAGATGATTTATGATGATTGTCATGGATTTTCCAATATTAAACCTCCATCTGAAGTTCGGGGATTTTCCAGCTATAGCAATGAATAGGTAGGTAGATTGTGAAATCATGAGTCGTTGTGAGGTTGAAATATGTAATTCATGCAATGTGTTATCAAACCTTATGAACACATGAGATTGAATTTGCGAGTCCCCAGCTTGAGATAGTCACCTTTACCTCCTGATCATCATTTCTGGTGACATTGATGGCGATGAATGGGAACTGCCGTGAATTGATTTAAGAGAACATTTATGGTTTTAACCGCTATACTTGAACATAAACACATGGTTTCCTGAACATGTTTTACTTCAAGAAATGAATTGAGAGTTTGGCCCACACAAATGGGAATGTAGAATCACATCAAGGATTTAGCCAGTTAGACTGATTGCCAGTTTCAACTAAATAGCTATATAACGCTTCCATTCATCCAAATATAGACCCTTAATACATGCACAAACATTTGTGTTAATATCGTGTAAATGGAAGCATACAATCATATTCCAGCGAAACACTGCGCTTCAATCCTTTCCTAGACCCTCGAACAATCCATTGAGAATGGGTACACATAATATCAACTTATTGGTGTCAAACACCAAGTTTCTAGGATTCTTCTCAGACCCTCAGAGTATATAAATATGTGTAACAAACATGAATGGACATATTGAAATCTACGAAAACTTAGAATTCATCTATATCTCACCATAAATCACCCATTTTGTCATGGCTAAAACTTGCTTTGACCAGCACTGGGTGAGGGTTACCTTTGTCAGCTCTTTGGAGCGGTCGAAGATGCCAAAGCGAAGTTTTCTGGCCTAGCTGCAGGGAGTTGGAGATATCATATACAAGCATTAGCAAGCAGCTCAAATGTAGAAAGGGATAGAAAGGGTTCATTGAAGTTCGATGTATCACAAGACTATAGGTTTAGACGTTCAATGACAATTCTAGCTTCGGTTGTTGGATTGCAATATTCGATAGAACTTATGAAGTTGAAGGTTGCTGGTTCTAATACGTTTTATTGGGACGCTAATCAGTGAACATGGTGATTATATGAAGATGCTGTAATCCTTCATCATTGATTTTCAACAGGTCAAACCCTCTAGTGGCAAGGGCCAAGATGTGAAGGTCTCAAGTCCTTTTTCCTTGGACAACCTAGGATGGTCATTTCTTCTTTGAGTTGGGATGATTTGGGGGTGCCATTCTAGTAACAAATTATGACTTCTTGCAATAAACCTATAATATGCCGATCTGGGGGGGATTCATTCTTGGAAATGGGTGAAATGGTTCGTTCTTGGATAGTGCAATGCCTGGGGCCCTGAGGCCCTGGGCGACACCGCCATGGCCTGGGAACTGAGTCTGTGCTGAGGTCATGGTGGGGAAGTGGTGAACTGTCGTTTTCTGTCTTGTTCTGCTGAGACCTCACTGGTAGATGCTAAAGCTTGATCCTCTTGTTGGACCTAGCGTCGGTGGATGACGCCAAAGAAATCGATCATGGCTTCCAACCAAAGTTGACTTGGCAAAGCTTTCCATGCTGTGGTGCGCAATGCTAGGTGGACACGTCCACAACTACGAGCAGAGCAAAACGGGGCTTGCAAGCCCCGTTTAACCTCAATGTCTCAGTGATATTCAGGGTTGCAGCTCACTTACTTAACATTCAAACTCATCACGACATTGTCCATTGCGAACTGGGCGAAGTAACTCACTTTCTGATCGTTTGTAAAACGTAGACGCACATGTTACAACCTAACAATTTGGGGCATTGCAGCAAAACCCAGCAGCACGTTAGGAACGTTGGCCACCCACAAATCAAATCAAATTGGATAAATTGGATATTTCGAACATCTAGAGCTGTAAATACTATGACTGTTACTGTACTATTGTTTTATGTGTTTTTTTTGACATATCATTCTTTTCGGGATTTGACATTTACATAACTTTCCGCCTCAGTCCGATGGCCAAATTTCGAGGATTTGAGACGTCACCATTTTTGGACCCATTTAACTCGGTGAAAGCACCATTCGCATCTCAGTTTATTTTTCAGCATCAAGAGTCAAATAACCTTTATTTCTGAAACCTATTCAGAAATTTGAAACTTGCTCTCCTTCCAAATCAATCCACGAGACCAGAATTGGTTGGAATTTCTTCCCCGACATGTTTGTCATGTTGGATCATCATCCAATGTTTAAACGGCATAAATGAATAAAGAAGTGAAACGTAGTGAAGCCCTCCACCAAGGATATCATGTGTCCAGCTCATCTCACTGCATTTATATACTCTCTGTTGTATATATATATTATATAAATATAGATAAAACTACAATAGATAATACAATTATTGGTCATAAATAAACTGCATTATAATATTCACCAACTTATAATGTGAATCAGCCTATATGAGTAATTGCCTAAATCCCAAAAAACAACGCACACATGCTCTTGCCAGCTGTATCCTAGACCATCTGTTTTTTATACTTGTTAGTTATATATATATACACGGTTATATACGTACTATATATCCTATATATCCAAATAGTTAGTTAGTTAGTTAGTTAATTAGTTAGTTAGTCAGTCAGTCAGTCAGTGAGTCAGTGAGTCAGTGAGTCAGTCAGTCAGTGAGTTAGTTAGTTAGTTTAGTTGGTTAGTTAGCTAGCTAGTTAGTTAGTTAGTTAGTTAGCTAGCTAGCTAGTTAGTTTAGTAAATTTAGTAAGTTTACTGGTTGGTTGATATGGAGGTTTCCTGAAACGGGGGGACCCTCAAATCATCCATTTTTCAGAGGATTTTCCATGAAATAAACCATCCGGCTATTAGGGTATCCGATTTATGGACCCCCCCATATCGGTCCAGCCTGGTCGAACATCCAGAGTTGTTTGCCCTTGATGGCCTCCTGTGGAGTGAAGGACATGGCACCGTCGATCATCACCATGTAATTCCTGCGGCACGGCCGATGCGCGCATCGCGCTAAAGGTGTGGATGTTTGAGGTGTGTTAATTGCTATGGTCTATGGTTGTTGGTAGTTAAGCACTGTGGTTATTAGTTAGTTAGTGTGGTTACTAGTTAAGTACTATGGTTAAGTTTTATTATATCATATTTATTAATCTTGACTACAGTGGTAAGTATTGTCAATGTTGATTACGCACAATGTGAGTTACTAATATGGTTACTAGTTTAAATTCCACCGTTAGTATTATTAATTTTCACTAGTATGATAGGTATTGATTATATAGTGGGATGGTATTTCACTAGTAATAAGTTAGTAACAAGCAACACAAAAAGGTTACCTTGACTACTGTAATTAGTGTTGACTACCATCGACAACCTTTCAAAGCTGATTACAATGGTCAGTATTATTAGTGCTGACTACAATGATTGGTGTTTTCAGTTGACCTCAATGACTTATGATGCTGTATTGCTGGTGATGTCGCTTGCTATCATTATCGTATTGTTTAATTTAATTTATTTCAAGAACAATGCTAACAGTATGTCTTAACTGTTTCCTTTGTTCTTGTTATTTTAGTGCTTCATGTGTTTCACAAGTTGCCACTTGGTCTCCGGGACCCCTCTGATTCAACAACTGGTTGGTGGTCTCAACCACCCTGAAGGATGGCCAAAATTATAAGCAAAATAACAATTTTGATAGGTTCATTGGTACCCAAAATTGTCGAGCCCCATTTGGGAAAAACTGATGATGATGATGATGATGATGAGGATGAGACATCTGAAACTAACACATCTGGCTATTGAATATGGAGGGGCGCCAGGGTGTTTACTGAAAAGGCATCCTTGATCAAGGCTTCACATCTACCGGGCCACTCAAGAGTGGCTTCCTGGATGTGCGGTCGTTTTGTGGAATTCAAAGGCACTGTCTAGCAACATGCGAATTTGACTGACAGATAGCTATTCCAAAATCCAATGTTTCGCAATCTTTTTCCCCACATGGCAATAACTTGTGGTACGTATTTCCACCCATTTTGGATACAGCCATGCTGTTTAAACCCGACAAATGCTGTAACCTCCGTCTGTGTTTTGGTATTTCACCATGGCAGTCCGAGGCTCTCAGTGATGAACATGTCATGATGAAAACCCGCCACAGGCATGTCAATGTCCACTCGTTCCACCAACTTGCCTAGGAAACAGTTTCCCTCCAAACCCCGCGTTCGCCCACACCCAAATAACACACCCAAACAATATCATTTACTTGCCACCAGAGGATGAATGAAAACACTGGCTATACGCAGCGATTTTGACTTTAGGTCTTTTAGGATTTAGGGCTTTAAGTTAGGGTTTAGGCTTTCAAACTTTTAGGCTGAGGGTTTAGGTTTTTAGGATTTTAGGTTTTGGAAAATAAAAAACGCTAGCCCTACGCCGGGATTTGAGCATGTCCCCTTGGATATGCGGGATCCGATGCGGAAGCAAACAAGTGGGGTTTGCAGCGAACAGTTTGGAATAGGATCATTTTCTCGACTTAAATCGCAGCTCTCTTGCGATCGCCTTGATGCTGCAACCTGTGTGGGTGATTAGTGGCACTGAGCTCAATCAGCCTGTCTGATTCCGTAGCTATAAGTAAATATTGACAAAAAAAACACGGTATAGATCTACCCGATTACACTTGTGTACATTTTCTGGGTTAAAACTATATAGGCCTTTGGCCAATATGAAGAAAAACACTGGGTTTACTTGGCAGTTTCAGCCATGACTTTGGGATGAAGAACATTTGTCCAGAATGCGTACCTCGTCCCCAACCACCAGCCCCTTGTTCTAACTTTTGTATATTTCTGAACATTTACATAGGGCTTTACACGTGTACGCATAAATAAATAAATAAAAATATATATATATATATGTATATATATATGTATATGTATATGTATGTATGTATGTATGTACGTACGTACGTATGTATGTATGTATGTATGTATGTATGTATGTATGTGTATATACATATATATATATGGACTTCGGTTAGACCTCAATTTTGGGACATACCGGAACATAAGAATCAATCGAAGATGCATAATGATGCACATGAGAGGTCGCAGAAAAGATGCAATATCTGGAAACCGGACACCACATTCAGGGGAACTACTGGAGGAAGTGTCTTCAACCTATCCCAAAACCATCAATATCTTGTGGTCAGTTGCTGTAGGGAACACAACCGAGCTGAGCAAGTTGCCGTTCACAATCTTGCCGGCGTAGAATTTCCTTGCAGCTTGCGAAGCTTCTAAGAAACATCCATCAAGTCCATAATGTGATAAACCCCATGGCATTAACCCCGCCATGTCACAAGGGATGGTTTATCATTGGGTTTTGCATTAGCTGGAGAGAGGGGCCAGGGGGAAGCCTTTTTCAGATGCCCCAAACAGCTCCACCTTAAGATGGGCATCACGAGTCGACAAGGACTTGTTCCCTGATTCACGTGTCTTGCGCCCGACTTCATGAAAAAACTCAAAAAATGAAGTATGAAGAACTGGAAATTATACTCAATGGGCAAAGTCGGACCTGACGATAATGATTTCTCATGTCAATGACCATCAACATATGTGGCCTTATCAATTAAATTGGTGTGGGAGAAACATCTTGAAATATTATTGTTGTTTGGTTATCGCAAGATAACCGATCCAACCACAACAAACACGGTAATATGACAAGCAGCAACGGAATACCACGTGTCACACATTGGGACCCACAAAGAGATTGAGCAATTATTTGGGAAGGTCCACAAAACATCACTAGGCTAAATAATGTTTTCTCCCATTACAAACTTGATAGTTGCAGGTTGATTCTTAAAAGACGTTTATCTTATTGACAACTACAGTCTCTTGTGATTCAGTATAGTCCATGTATACATACTGTGTTTGTATATATATATGTCTATGTACTTATAGATAGATGTACTTATATATATATATACATACAAATAAATCTACATATATATATATATACAAATACATATTATATACATATATACATATAGATTGACCCCCAATGCTGTGGGGCTTGGACCTGGTCAGCAAACCAACTTGGCAGATCGTGGAGAACACGCCAAGTTTCTCGGGCATTTTTCGGCCGTGGAAGAGGATATCACCATTTTTCTGATCAAACTTCGGATGAGCCTCACAGGAGATGTCCCCTTCAAGGCCCCAACATGGCTATTTTCTTGGGAACATGACGGTGAACTGAGCTTGGTCCATATTCAATCCCAAACATGGGATTTAAATGATTTAAATCATTCATAATCATTCTATACATTCACCAAGGATTTCAGAACTTCCCAAACATGGATCCAGTACACGGAAGATTTTGCTGTCCCAACCAACATGTAGGACCAAACATTTGGCTGCCAATACTCAAACAGCAGCGCCCAGGAATCTACAAATTCTATATAGTGGTTTTCAATTAAAAAAGGGTATGTATGTATATGCTCCATTTGTGTACTCTACCCGAAATGTATACTATATCTGTATTAAGCCACTGGCTTTTGGTGACGAATCATGTCGGAATATCAATTTTGCTTTCTAAAGATAAGTTGTTTCATTGCAGGCACCCCAGGCGCAATTTATTTCAGCTGATTCCTAGGCCCAAACGGCATCACTGAACTGGACTCCCATGTTAAGGGGATCAGTGGTTGTGTGCGAAAAAAATATACACCGTAAATTATAACATCAATCATTGTATTATAGAAATATATCAAACGTCGATTGCGTGTGAACTTGTCAATCTGTAAGGACCATTTCGGTATTTTCACTGGCTGTCTGGCTGAATCCCACAAGTCGTTTTAATTTGCACTGGCATGGGGGTATCTTAGAATGGTGGATCCCCAAAGTCACCATGGGTTTCAATACTATATATGGTCTAGTTTAGGATGATTTGGGGGTATCCCTATTTTAGGAAACATCCAGATGTGTCCCTATCAATTGCATTACCACTATGAACTGACTGCAAATCAATAGTCCGCAATGGTCACTGGTTTTGATTTCGCGCTTCATGCAGAGTCATTGCGAGACTCGCAGGCGTGGAACTTAACAAAACAAATGGGGCAACCCCCTCAATTCACCAACCGATGAGGTCTTGACAGTTTGTTAATCACCCACTATCAGTTTAATATTTGGATATATTTGGTGTTCTTGCCCGAACAAAAAATGTAGAAATTTGGCCTGGTTGGCTACAGTCCATCCATTGAAACAACAATTTTGGTTTTTCCCGAATGCGTAGCAAGGGTTCCCGTTTCACTCTGGGGGTCTGGGGGTTGAGGGTGTGTTCGCTCGACGTTGCGTTCACGATCGCAACCGTCCGCAACCGTTCGCAACGGTTCGTGTGAGGACCGTATGGCCGTGCCTATGGGAAGTTCTGCAGAGGTGGTCATTTTTGGAGGTTTCAGACGTGTCGTTGCTTCGTTTCGCGTGGCAGGCGTGGCACTTCGTGACATTCAGACGTGTTTTGCAGCGTGTTGAAAATCGTTTTGCGTGGCAGGCGCAATACTTGTGTGACGTTTTCAGAAGATGTGTTGCAGTTTTCGTGGCAGGCGCAGCACTTTGGACGTGTCCATCGTCATTTTTCGTGGCAGGCGCAGCACTTTAGACGTGTCCTGTTGCGTGTTTTTTGTAAATCGCATTGGCAGGGCTGCGTCAAGTGGTGACAAGGTGCAAATTCCGTGGCAGGCATGGCATTTTCTGACATGTGCTGAAAATTGACGGAAGCCTCGCACGAAACATCGATTTTGAGGTTGCAAATTTTCAGGTTCTAAGGAAAACTCGTAGGAACACGTCAATTTTGAAGCTGCAAAGTGTGAACATTGGAGGAAGTCTCGCGCGAAATGCTCGTTTTGGTGCTCCCACCTGTCTCTTCTCGCGTGTCTGGTTTTCCCGTGGCCTCGCCGTGTCTATGGGGGAAGCTGCAAAACTTGTCTTTTTGTCGTGTTGCCAACTGTGAAAATTGCCGGACGTCTCCCACAAAATGC